TATTAAAATAACGTAATTTTAAAAGATTAATGCATATTAATCTTAACTTTAAAAAAATTAAAATCCTAATTTTAAAGGAGTTATTTTATTTAATTAAAATTAATTTAAAAATCATAAATTGAACTTATTAAACATTGATTCTTATATTCAAAATTTAAAACTTCAACTTATTACATATTAATATATAAATTTGAAAATCAATAATATTATAATATATACTTACCTTTCAAATTTGGATATCAATAGTTAATAAAATAAAATTTTAAATTTTAAATTAATTTTAATTAAATGAAATAAATTTATTTATGATATGTTTGAGTTAAGAGGAATTGAAGGGAAGGAAAAAATCTCTCTATTTAATTATCAAAAAAAATTAGAGAAAAGAGGAAGGGAAAAACTATCTTTACTTTATTTTTTAAACTTAGTTGTTTATCTAAATAAAGAAAAGGAAATGAGGGAAATAGAAGAATATAATTCTGCTCTACTCCTTTCCTCTCTCCTCCATTTCTCTTAACCTAAACACAAAGTTAAAATTAATACTCAAACATTTTCTAGAGTCAACAATACTAAGTTCTTTTTCCTAATTTTATTAATATCACTCCACACACATGATTGATTAACACCATTGACCGAAGTAATATCAATCTCCCTCCTACCCCCATAATATTTCTCCCACACCACCCTCTTTCAAAGTTCCTCTTTCTCCTCCCCCAACCTATACCACCATTTACCTAATAATGCACCATTCTTCTTCATTGAATCTACCACCCATAACTTATCTAACTTCTTACTACAGCAAATGTCATCCCAACAAACTACCCACAAAATTTTCCTATTATTCAAAAGCTACATTTGTCATATAATTAATATGCATTTAAGGTGTGTTGGAGATTGCAGTTAGGAGTTTTTTCTTGTAATTATATAATATTTTTAAATATATTTTTGTTTGGTAATTTTTTTAGACTATTTTTTTTTTTTCAAAAGCTATAGAAAACCACAAAAATTCTACAACAATTTTACAAATAAAGGCAAAAATCTCATTTTGAAGCTTTCTGATTGTGCGAAAATAGCAATGGGTCCCCACAGGAGCAAGAACCCGCTCCCCATCCCATTCCCACCAACAATGGGTATGATGATCCTCAGGGAAATTTTTGGCGAGGACCAAAAATGCCTTCCATCCCTATCCTTGTGGGCAAATTCAAAAGCACTAATGTTAAATCTTCTTCTAAATGGTTATCAAAAAATAATTTTTTTTTGATTTATTTACGTTGAGAACTATTGATTTTTTTGGCAACAATAAGGTTAAATAAAAGAATTTTTTTATATTTCATCTTCCATTCATCAAACTGGATTTCACAGTACTTTTAAGAAATAAATAATTAAATATTAAAATAGATTTTGATCATAGTCACCGTCACAGTTATAATCACAGTATAATATCTGTCTCTTATACACAACTAGCTTCCATTCATCAAACTGGATTTCACAGTACTTTTAAGAAATAAATAATTAAATATTAAAATAGATTTTGATCATAGTCACTGTCATAGTTATAATCACAGTATAATATAGTGCAGTACAACTACAACCATAGCCACAATATAATCACAACACCCCACAAATAATTCTGAATGCATCCCAACTCTTTTAATGTTATATTATTTTATAAAAACCTTTAATAGGTTATTATATATTAGAAAAATGAAATGCAATCTATCTTACCTAATGTGAACCTTCTCTTAACCATTGATAGAGGTGGACAAGCTCTCTTATATATATTATGAGTTCACCTCTTTATCAATAACTAAAAGCAACACAGTCTATATAAAATGTACTGCACTACAACATTCTTATTGCATGTAGCATTACTATTTTAAAAATAAATAATGAAAAATATTTCAAATTAAAAAAATGAAAAATAACTCTCTTGTTTCATTTCAAATTCAAGATGCATGTTTTGCAACTCAATTCGATTACATATTTCAATTGAATAATGCAATTGCAGCCGAAGGCCGCCCTTGCCGACAGAAGGCCGAGCTGACTTTAGCGTTGATTCCTTGTTCTTTTACTTGTATAAGAAAGGCCATAACTAGTTCTTAACCCCACAAGTTTATAGGATTATAATTTTTAAGTTCTTATATTTAAAAAGACATCACTTAAGTCTATAAAATCAAATAAGATTATTATAATTGAGGGCATTAGGATTTAGATTTTTTAAATTTAGTGATTGTAACATTAGGGTTCAATATTTAATGTATTAGGTTTTGGATTATATTTTTACCATTGACGGTTTAAGGTGATGGGATTTAAATTTTTTAGTGTTTAGTGTTTAAAGTATTAGGGTTTAAATTTTTTTAAATTCAATATTTAGGATATTAGGGTTTAAATTTTTAGAATTCAATATTTTAGGGTATTAGGGTTTAGATTTTTTTTTTTTTTAAGGATAAAATGTTTAGGATGTTAATGTCTAGATTTTTTACAATTGAGTTTTTATAGTATGATGGTTTAGATTTTTAAGGTTTAATATTTAGGATATTAGAGTTTAAAAATTTTAGTATTTTTAGTGTTAAGTTTTATTATAATTTTAAGATTTAGTATTTAAAAATTTAAATAGAAAATAATATAGACAACTTAGTCCAGTACAATCATTCTGGGAAATACATTCCCAATGGTATCATTATACAAAATATAGCCAATATCAGTAGGGCATTGATTAAGTGCAGCAAAATGAAGAACTGAATTGGCGCCTTTCTTAGCTAAGCTATCCGCAATGGCATTAGCCGCCCTGAAAATATTAAATATGCGTGAAATGAAGCTCAGGAACTTGGGCCAACAACATCCTGTAGTCAGAAACAAGGGTACCCAGTGAATGAAACTCAAATACAATCATCAATCAGTGACTTGCAATCTTAGAATTTGAATCAATTTTAAGAATAATTTTGTTAAAACCCCTGCTAAGAGTAGTGGATAGCCCATCCCGAATTGCCCACAAAGCCGTAAGACTAAGTAGTATTACCTAAGGGTGTTTTAATTTGGATTTTAATATGTTTTTTAAATTAATCTAATATGTTATTATATGATAACTAAACCAATGCAACTTAAACCATATCGGTGTGATTCAGTCAAATTAATCGATTTTTAATACTATTAAAAATATGAGATAATATAAAAATTTTAACATTAAATAAAAAACGTAACCATAAAATATATTAACATGCAAATCACTAGAAACATAATAAAATATACAAATTATAAACAAATTCTTATACTCATTTACAATTGTGAAGATTAAAAAGATTTGAAAATTCTCCTTGACTATATCACTACAGGCACCAATGATAATAAAATATGACTTTAAGTTTTAAATACAGTATAAATAATTTTTAAAAGTTAAAATTAATTTTTTTCCTTAATGTACCAAATGATTTAATTTCATCTTTCAAACCCTTTTAAAAGCAAATGAAATTTAACATAAATGTCATTAGGAATGATTAGAAGCATTAAAATTAAGATTTAAAACTCTTCAACCAAATATGCAAGAATATATAATAGAATATCAAAATTAGTTCTATGATATAGTTTTTAATTATATCAATTTTAAAATTTTATAATACAAATTAACTTAATTTTATATCAATTTAATTTAATTTTTTATTAATTTAAATCAATTTAAATCAAATCAATCATATTTGATCGAATGTGAATACCGTTAGTATTACCAATATGTCTGGGGAAGCCCAACAACCATCTGCCCAGCTCATCTCTAAACACGCCACCCGCACCAGTTCGACCCGGTTTATTTAGAAATTATTATTCAAGAATTATAATTTCAATTAAAAATCAATTGGGACTAAAAAATAAAAAATAAAAACTATAAAGAATTTTAAAAAGAGTTTATCTAATCTATACCTCGGACAAAAATATCAAGGGAGTTTTAAATGCAGTTTTAATGTATAACTTTACATTAAAAAAAATTAATATTAATTTTAACATCTTTAATGTATGAATATTTTTAATTAAATAATCAATAAATTTAATATCAAATTTTTAATTTTATTATGAATATTAATAATAAAAAATATAATAAATATTTCGTTATTCTGTATTTTAAAAGTACAAAATAAAAAATCTCTTTAAAAAAATTAAAATTTTACAGTGATTTAAAAGAAAAATGAAAAAGCCATGGGACCCCGGTTCTCAGCACCGATCTTACATTACCATCCAGATTCCAGTAAGTAAGAATTCAAGTTAGACGAAAAACTATACCTAAAGAGGCAAGTGTGATGGGGACTGGGGAGGAATGCGCCGAAGTTGCCTAAAATTTTTTTTTGAACTTGAGGTTGCCTAAAATTTAAATTCACAATCCTTAGTTATAGTAATAGAACCAAGTGCATCCTCTAGACACAATAATTGCCTCAAGAGATTATCATAGCTACCACCCTTTTTTGACGTACAGTTCTTGACTGCCTAAGAAAAATGTACAGTTTCTATTTAAATTGTAGAAAAACAAGAACCAAAAACACTTCAGTTGCATCATATCTATCTTACACCATAAGGTTTCAAATGGCCTCATATTTGAGCTGCCCTGGTCATGGTGACTTGTCCGGTTGACCTTTGAGACCACTGTCAGACTGGCTGTCACTCAAATTTAATTAAATTAATATTTATTAATTTAAAATTTTTAACTTAAGATTAAAATAAAAAAAATTTAAATTTGTATGATACTAAATTATCACTAGCCATTTCATGGCACGCAGCGATACAAAGAAATCAACTAGAGGCAGCACACCACCACTGGTCCGGTCCTCCAGCCCTGCCTCTACTAGGAAACATCCCATTTCTTCAACCTGATTTCTACCACTACTTCGCCAAGTTTCAAACTTACGGTCCTATCACGAAGCTTCAACTGGGTCGCAAAATCTTCATCGTCATAAGCTCCCCTTGGCTTAACAAAACCGTCCTCAAAGACCACGACGCAGTTGTTGCTAACGGTGACGTTCCTACATCGGCCATAGCCATCACATACGGTAGAAGTGACATTGCTTGGAGCCCCAAGCCCGTATTGGCGAAAGATGAGAAAGATTTTTGTTCATACTCTGATGACTAACACCAGCCTCGATGCCTGCTACCAACTCCGAGGACGGACAGTCGGACTGACATTCATAGGAAAGTCGGCTCGCCCATGTTATGTTCCTTACGGCACTGCGCTTGATGACGAGCATGTTAATAATGGGGTGGTTTGTCGCATGGAAAGGAAAGGGATAGAATTGGGCCTGAGTTCAAGCAGGTAGTCGATGGAACCGTCGAATTGCTCGGAAAACCCAACATTTCTGACTCCTTCCCTGTCCTTGGTCGATTGGATCTTCAAGGAATCCAAAAGAAGATGAGGAAGCTTTGGCTGTGGTTTGATTGGATTTTTGAATCAATGGTAGTAGCCCGCATGAAAGCTGATTGTAAGGAAAATATCAATTATTTGTTGCAGGTCTTGTTGAATCTGAATTATCAAGGAGATGATGAAAATCCCTATTTATCCATGGACGAAATTAAGGCACTTCTAACGTTACTGCAAATCCCTCTGTATTGCATACTCTGTTTTCCATATTTTGAACTTTTTTCGTTTGGATGCATTTATCTTCGTGAACAGGACGCTGTTGTCGCTGCTCCGAATACGTTGACCGCCACAGTGGAGCGGACACTGACAGAAATGCTGCAGCAGCAGCAGAAAATGAGAAGATCCCGTGAAGAAATTGAGGTAGTGGTTGGAAAACAGAACGTTGTGGAGGAGTTTCATTTGCCCAAGCTGCTGTATTTGGATGCATTCATAAAGGAGACCCTCCGGTTCAATCCACCTGTTCCGTTCCTAGTGCCCCGGGACGTGACCTTCCGCGTGGCCAGATCCGCCGAGGCTCGAGAATCTTGTTCAACGTGTGGGCGATTCAGAGGGACCTGAAGTTTGGGAAAATCTACTGGAGTTTGAACCTGAGAGGTTCTTGAAAGACCCTGAGAAAGATGACCACCATACAGGAAACAATTTCAGTTTCTTCCCATGTGCGTCAGGAAGGAAAATATACGCTGGAATGCCTATAGCAGAGAAATATGATAAAGCATGTGTTGGCGACCATGCTACATTCTTTTGAATGGGAATTACCGTAGGGGATGGAGCATAATCTCTCTGAGAAATGCTTACTCGCTTTGAAGAGAACAACCCCACTTGTTGCCATACCGACTGACAGAGTACCTACCATCGAGCAATACGTATGAGACCATCCATTGCACCTGGTGAGGCAGAATAAGTGAATTCTTGAGGTGGAATTTTGAGCGACGCAATGGATGCAAGCTGGAAATAAGTTTTACAATTCTAATAACCATATGTTGAATATCGTGGATACAATCAACAAATAATTGGGCTTCAGATACTTGACTCAACAAGTGCAGAGTCCAAGTTTAAAGGCTGGTGTGAGGAAGAAAAAAAAATATTGCCCCAGCCCACCTAAATTTCAGAAACAAAGCTTCTGAGAACGGATAGCAAGGCCAATGCAATCAATAAAATCCGCGAAAAAATGAAGATTCAAAAACATGAACAGGAAAAAGAATCTTGCATGACATAGCACTCTCCAATGTCAAAACTAGTATGGTAAATAACCAACTACAGTTATACCCTCCAGTAAACATTCATTTATCCTTAGGGAGCTATGTTTAGGACCACATATGAAACTTCTCCAAATTAAGAAACTCAAAAGATCCAAAAAGGGGAAAAGTGAAGCACATTCAAGAATCAGCAATGGTAACCTCCACCTCAACTCCAGGTTCAATAGTGATTGAGGTGATTTGCTTGACCACATCAGGAGAGCTGAACAGGTCAATCACTCGTTTGTGGACACGGAGCTCAAATCTATCCCATGTATTGGTTCCTGCAAAACATAAAAAGCTTCCAATTAACCACCCAAGAACAATTTTGATCAACATAAAATGCATATGAACGTCAATTCCTTCCCAAAAACTGTCGAGTCTTCTGCTTTAATTTCTCTCGAATACGCACAATAATAAATTACTGTGACCAAACAAGCACGGAGCCACAGATCATATCCATCAACACTACTAAAATGGCAGCAGCTAAGGGGCTCCTTCCATGAATTGAAAGGTAAATATATATATATATATATATATATTAAATGAGCTCAAAAATGTTAAAGCTTTTAGAATCCGCTATTAGCCTCTAACTCTCTAAGTTACGCCTAGCATTGGCCACCCAAACCTATTCCATAAACATTTATTAGTATGCCAAGACTGCTACAACCGTCCAAAGGAAATGCATCACAATAAGCAGCTTAAAATGCTACAAAGCATTTAAATAAAATAAAAGATATGCTTGAAGCAAGTACCTTCACCACAGGGAGATTTCCTGGTGGTAATGTGAAGAACCTTTGTGGGCATCCTCACTGGTCCCTTAACTCTCAGCTTCTTATCCTTGGCACCACGAACCAAGTCAGCACAAACTGCCAACCCAACCAAAAAGCTATCAGACTAAAACTTTGCAAGATTACACCAAACAAATGCAGAGTCAATTCCCAAATAGAATTTTCGGCAATAATCATAAAGTTGACACCTTTCTCAAGGTTCTTAACATTCTTGGAGGACAAAGTGATCCTGATCTTGTGAATCTGTTCCTGGGTCTCCTCCAAACCAGGCTTGCTTGGCTTCATTGCAAACGCCATTGTTCCTCGCTTCGTCCTGCTCTGGATATCAATTCAGTCACTCAAAAATCACTAACAGTGCAATTGTAAGACCAGTTTCAAACATCCAATTTATTACGCAGTTTCTTTACTAGCATCACAACCCAAAACAATAAAATAAACCGAATACAAATGAATAACAAAGCAGAAAAAACCCATAAAATCAAAGGAATCGATCCTAAATACTTAATTTCTTCGTTTTCCATTGAAGATGACCTAAGAAGTGAGGAGAAACAAGAAAATTTACAGGAAAATCAAAAACAAGCTACCTGGGCGATGGGGTTCGGAACTCTGCGGTGGCGCGGCGTCTACTTTCTGTTTTCTCTCTGCGACCAATTATATATAACTAGCTCTAAGGTTAGGGTTTTTTCTTCGGGTTATTTTAACCCTGATCTGTGTAATCCGGGTCGGGTTTTGATGAGTGTTGGGCTAAGGGAATTGGATCTATTGACCGGGGCTGTTTCTAATTATATGACAATCACATTCCCCGCCGGCCCTGGAAGGTTTTGCTTGATAAAAGCCCAACTCTTTTATTTTCTTACTTCTCCCAACCCAAAAGGCCAAGAGAGGCCTAATCCTACATCCAGTATTGAGACTTTTAAAGCTCTAGATTTGGTATAAATAAAGGTATAATTTTTTTTAAAAATTTTAATTAAGGACATGATTTTTTTTTACTAATTAAGGATGTCATTTTTTAAAAAGTTTTTAATTGAAAATATGACATTTGAAAGATTATGAAAGATTATAATTTTGTTTGGGTACACTTTTCAGGATTTTAACTTTTGATTTTTATTTTTTTATTATTTTAAAAACATATAAAATACAAATTAACATAAATATTATATATACTTCATATATTTTTGAAATGTTAAAAAATTAAAAAATTTATAGTTACAATTACAGTTTAACACTGTCAAACTAACCTTATTTTCTTATTTATATCACGTTCAACCAATGAGATGGTAGATATCTTAAAATATGAAAATTTGCCTCATTATTTGATTATTGATGTGATCTAAGAATTATGGAAAAGTCTTATATAAAAAATATCGAAAATGAAAATGTATAAAATAAACAAAGGAAGAGGAAATGTAAGTGTATTATGAGTGCACCGATGCTTCTTACCGAAACCCACATAAACTCATAAAGTTAGGTTTGAGCTTAATATTTTGCGGTTTTACCACTGCAATAGAGACTTCATGGGTTTTTTATGACAATTTGATTATCAATTATATATGAAAGTAATGTCATTCTTTTTCTACCTCAATGTTAATGAGTTGTTCAAGTGTACTCAAAACTCGATATAAATACATAATATAGTAGCTTGAATTTTTATTATTTAAATAAAGTTTTAAATTATTGCAATGGTTAAATTTTTATTTTGTTTTGTTTTTTTATCTTTCAAAAATTAAGTTATTTTTTATTTCACATGTTGAAACATTTAGATATTGGAGGAAAATTAACAAAACTATTGTGTACAAAACGAGGGAAGTTAAGTGAGTGACAAACATAACTAAATTGGTAAGCTCATGAAAGTTAGATTATGATTGAATTATCTACATTGATAACAGAGCTGGTGTGGCTAAAGTTGAAAGGGAAAAATTTTACAGGAGAAGTGTTCGAGAGAGATTTTGACATTGTGTACAAACTCTATCTCGTTCTTTTATAATTCTTTCGTTATGATTGGCTCCAAACCTTCTCTTAAATTGAGACAGAGAAGAACTAAGAAAGACCTTGGAGGATGAGTAGATAGCTCAATAAGCCTGATTTGTTATTATGAATGTCCTTAACTAAAGGGCAAAACAGGCTGCTGTCTCACAAAATGATATGATTTTCCTTTGTATGAAATTATGAATTAATATGTAATAATTATTCTTGATGCTCTGTATTTTCTTTAGTAATATTCTTATAGCATCTACATTTCCTGATTTCAAATCTGCTTTTGCCGAGAAATCTTTTCTTTGAGAAACATGTTTATTGTTAGCAACCTGTAGTTGTGCTATTCGTGGTTAGTCCAATATATCATTTATTCACCTGCCGTAGAATGAAAAACAACTTGCCACCAGCTTCAGCAATCCCGCGCTATTAAAATGTGTGATAAACATTGGAATAGAGACAGAAGATTCACTATTGGATCACAGGTTTTTTTTATCTAATTATCTTCCAGCTTTATCTTTTGTACTGATTTGCAAATTACCTCGAACGGCCAATGTTTAAGTTGTAGGAAATAGGCATATTTTGTAATTTTGTTTTATATAAAGGGCTTTTATGTAACTTTACATTTTATATAACCTAATATTTATATGCTACTAAGGGTGAGTAGCTCGGTAAGTTGGTTTTGCACCCTCCACTTCCGCCTCACTTTACATGGTATCAGAGTAGATTTCGCCAGAGCTTCAAATTTCGCCAGAGCTTCTTCTTTCGCGCCGCTAGGGGTTTTGACTCCATAACCATCGGCTCAGTATCGGAGGTGAAGCCATTGCAGAGGATTCCGACGCTGAAGCCAAACCAGATTCCTCAAAGTTCACTTTGCTGGTAATAGCGACGCCCAGAACGAGAGTATCCTTGGTATTGTTCTCGGTGACATCTGGAAACATCTTACAGCCGCCGCAACCACTGCCACATTTGCAACCTGCGCCGCAACCACAGTTTCCTCCGCAGCAGGACATTTTCAACAGTAGAAGATGGAATCGCAGAGCTGAATCAAGGAGAGGATTGATTCCTTTTCCTGTTTTGTCACGATCATGGTGTGGATTGGAGATTGGACTTCTTGATTGGGTTTTTCATCTCGTATTGACGGTAATATCGATTACCCTTTTATTTGCTTTTCTCCTTGGTTGATTTGCATATTGATTTGTTGTTGCGGAATTGGATTCAATAATGACCGAGAAAAATGAGACTTTGGCTATCAAATTAGATGGAAAGAATTTTTCTTTGTGGAAATTCCATTTTCAATTCTTTGTAGAAGGCAAAGGTTTGTGGGGCTATATTGATGGA